GTAATAGGCATTGGGGAAAAACTATAAACATGTAACACGTAATGTACCATATAAAAGACAGCAGCAGCCCTGGGCGGGGAGAGAAGAAGCAGTCGGGAGTCAGAGAGGATGTCAGGGTGTGTGTGTGCCTCTGCCTGAGCTGTGAGCAAACCACAGCAGCCCCAGAAGAAAATCTTTTCGATAACTTGCAATAAACTGCCTTGAGACCGAACAACAGAGACTGCTGAGCCTTTCTTTGGAAGCATGGGTTGGAGGAGAGACTTTTCCACCACACGGAGCCACCCCGAACTGGGGATTGCTCCAGCAGGACAGAACTTGGGGCTGTGAGCATCAGCAGCTCAGCGTGTGCTCCATTCCATCCTGGCTCCAGCCTGCTCGATGCTGAGCCCTGCCCCATCAGAGAGCTTCAAGGGAAAACTTGCATGGATTTTTATCTGTTGTCTTGGGAAATATTTACTCATTCATTTATTTATTGACACAACCCAAATTTACTTCTGTGATTTGCTAAATATCTCGGCTCTGTTTCTTAAGCAGAGTTGGAAGCATTTCCTTCCAGACCTGTTTTCTGCCCCCTCCCCACCCACTCCTGATGGGGACACCGGGATGGCAGCCACCGTGCTCCTCAAACCAGCATTGTCAGCCTTGTGTTCAGCTCTTGGCAGTGAGTATTTTGGGAATACTAAATATCCACAGCTGTTAATTTTTCACACAGCAGGTGGGGAACCTGCCCTGTTTGAATGGCACCGTGGGAAAGACCAGTTTAATTTACAACATGGGAATGTGGAGGGTGCTCAGCACCAAGTTCCATCCACACACACACTCTTCAGTTATTTGAAGCAAATACTCAAAGCTCTGGTTCAGTCTTTTCTTCCACACGACAGCAAAAGCAGAAAAGCCATTAATTGCATGGGCAGATGGTTATTAGGAAGTGTGTGAGATCTGGCTGCACCACCACTGCGTGGGTGGAGCTGATTAGATGGACCTGTATCAAAAAATAACAAAAAAAAAAAAAAAAAAAAAAAATTGAAACATTTCCTACATTTCCTTTGCTGTATGGTGAGAAAAGCTTCTCCCGTGTGACTGCAGAAGACAATTCAAAAATAACAGCAAAATTGTTCCTCATTTCCCCACTGAGCCAAGTTACATGTAATTCCTCCCCAGCCTCATTGCTGGGAGCAAACACATGGGCACCAGGATGGGCACAGGAGGCTTTGGGGTTTCCTTCACTATGGCTTTGTTGGCCCCAAGTTGGGCCTCTCTCTGGGGGCTCCCCTGACAGGGGAAATCCTCTTGGAGCAGTTTTGTGTTAGGAAAAGGAGACACACAGGGCTTTTATGGTCTTTAGCTTCTTGTTTTATTGTTATCTTATCAAAACTTCAGTATGCTGTCTGCACTAGGTCTTGCATGTATGAAAACGGCATAAAAATGGCTAACAATTTCGTCAGTCAAAAACTAAGTTGCCCAATTAAGAAATGACACAGATTATTTTCCCTTCTAACCTAATAACTGACCCCTAAAGACATGCAATGCAGATTTTTCTATCCAATTACAAGGTATCACTCAAACTCATGAAGAACAGGGAAGAAAAGGGAGCACAAGACAACACCCTATACCCTCTATCTTGTCCCCATCTACAACATCCTAAAAATCCTAAAAGCTAAATTTCTCACCCAAGTTACATACTATACTACTCTTTATATTCTATTTCACACTTTTTGTGGTCTTTATTTTATTTTGAGGCTTTGGAGGCCTCCTCCATGAATGAGATTCAAAGTCAGTGCTTCCCTGGGAGTCAGAACCCCTCAGGGCAGACAGAGAAATATTCCCCTTGCCTTAGAGTTCCACACTTCACCAGGCTGGCAAAGGTTAAACATGTAAAGAGACCCAGGTGCTACAGCACCAGAGGTGCCACTTCTCCTCAAGCTGCCTCCAAACAAGGCTGTAAAAGCACATCTGCTTGGACACCTCATTAAAACAGCATGGAATCATAAAATTGCTGAGGAAAGAAATGCTCAGGTTTCTGGTTATCTTGGTGTATCTTCTGCCCTTCCAATTGTTTCCTGCTATATCCAGTACACATCACCTTATCAAGCAAGAAACTGTTTCTCCATAGTTTAGTGCAGCACTCAACACAATCAGCAAAGATCCATCTTTAAAACCACAGGACAAATTGAAAATTGCTCAGAAATAAACCAACCACACAAAAATTAAAAGGAGAACTTTTAATTCCACCCCTCTCTCCCCACCCAACTGAGTTTATAGTTGTAAATCAAAGCACTGCAAGACTCAGTGGAGAGTTAAATCCTCAGTTAAATCCCCACCTAGAATGAAATTCATGAAGAAGCTGGAGACAAAATTGTTTTTGTAGCAGATACACAACTTGGGTGGTCAATGTCAATGCACTTCCAGATATTACTGTCAAAACCCTTATCTAGGAAAAATCATTAGCTTCATACTGCACTTGATATAATGCTTCAATATAATGCTTGAAACAGCTCATTTTAAACGGGTATTTCAGGATCACAAAGAGAAATACAGTTATTATGGGCCAGAGACACTCGAGCCATGTCCCCCATCATTTTCGTCTGCTGGGGTGGAGGCTGTGGAAGGAGTCTGCCCTCAAAAGGCCAAACATTAAAGTGCACTGAGCACAGCCCAAAGTCCACAAACCAGCATCCCCTTCCCATCTGCCTCTTACCTCCCACCACTTTCACCCTGATTCCAGCCCAGCAGACACAATCAAGAGCAGCCAGCCAGGAGAATATCAGAAAATCACTGTTATCGGTCTGCGGACAGCCTAGCTGTCAACTTTCCCCTGTGATTTAGTTATCTTCTAAAACAAACACACCAGAACAGTGGAAGTACAAAGAACAAATTCTCCATTTCCAGGACTCCTGCTGTTTAGCTGCAGCACAGAGGTTCCCACTGTCACTACAGATGCCCATGATCAATTGTGCCACAGGAATGACAGATGGACACAGACACCAGCACAGTTCTCACGGACGCTGAATCAATTACTCTAACAAGTGTGTAAAGCCTCACCCCTTTCCTATTACTCATCTTGTATTTCCTACTGTAAAGAAAACACTTTATTTTTTTGCTCCATGCCAGACTCCACAGTTAACTGAGATCAGGAAAGCAGCAGGAGGGGAGCAGGTGAATGTTCTCTTGGGCACAGAGCAGCTCTGGAAGAGATTTCACAGCTCAGCACCTGCTGCCCCCTCCGAGGGGAGCTGAGGAACACCAACCAATGATCCCGGCAGTCCAGGCCATGCTGTAAGCCTCGAGGCATGGAAATTATGGTAATTGGGGCTCACAGGAATCCAAGGGGGCATGTAAGGCCTGAAGAGATTCTCTCAGGGAGCAGCTGTCTCCATAGCAGGAATGCACTCAGTGCTTCTGCTGCTGTTGAAGTGGTGAGCTGTCAGCAGCGAGGGATGGTACCTGGAGCTCCTCACATACACCTGGAGCTCCTCACATACCCCTGGAGCTCCTCACACACATCTGGAGCTCCTCACACGTACCTGGAGCTCCTCACACACATCTGGAGCTCCTCACACACATCTGGAGCTCCTCACATACCCCTGGAGCTCCTCACACGTATCTGGAGCTCCTCACACACATCTGGCGCTCCTCACATATCCCTGGAGCTTCTCACACACATCTGGAACTCCTCACATACCCCTGGAGCTCCTCACACACACCTGGAGCTCCTCACACACATCTGGCACTGTCCCAAGGCAGGTTTTGCTATGGATGGACACAGAACTGCAGCACTGAGATCTGCCTCAGACACCCATGGGCACGTGAGCAGCACAGGGGAGATCTGTAACCGCTCAGCTGAAGGTGAAAGGGAAGGTGGAAGGCTGAAATAATTCAAATAACAGGGGAAAAGAGAATGCAAAGGGCAATGAACCTGGAAGGCTGAAATAATTCAAATAACAGGGGAAAAGAGAATGCAAAGGGCAATGAACCTGTTTCAAAGGGTGACACCATGGCAGTGCCCAAAGGCTGCTTGGACTCCAGTGAAACCCTCACTGTATCACCAAGAGGCATGTGAAGGATTTGGCATTTTGTTATTCCAGGCAACCCCCCGCCCCTTCACAACATCTCCCATATTCTGCAAAGGGAAATGTGGCTTCTTGTTTTGCAATTTGCTACTTTTGTTACATCTGACAGGATTTACAACCACAATTCTGGGCTAAAATCGAAATGAGCAAACATTTTGTCAGGAATTCACACAATTTCTCTCTAATTCATGTGAGCAGTAGGCTTCTGTGATGTCCTTAGCTAGTGACATTTCTCTGGATTTAAATGTCTGGGTTTTGAGTACATGTTCTTGGCAAACACAGAAATGTCATGGGAACCATGGCTTGCTTTATGAAGTGATCTGCTTTGGGATACTGCAAATGAGCAGAGGGAAACTACAGAGTTCTTAGAACCTCCAACTGATGATTCACAGCATCCAAATAATGCTCCTGATTAATCCTTTATGAAAACAGCCCCATTCAGCCAGGCACTACATGACCCTTCTTTCATGTGAAAACTGTGAAGGTGTTTTTACGGCACAAACTCCAAATGTCTATCAATCCTCACCATCAAAAGAACTTCTAAATATTTCCAGATTTTATTCTTCCTTTCCAGATGTAAGATGTCAGAGGATACAAGTGACAAAAAGTTGCACAAATAAAGTATGAAACTAATGAAAAAAAAAAATTCACTTAATCTCCCAAGTAGATGCAAATCTGATAAACATCAGTTGCCACTGAAAAAGAACAGGAAGTGCATTTTCAGTCAATATGCAAGTTTTGTTGCACAATTTATAGTCCAAAGGCAGATGTTGAGAAAAAAGCCAGTGACTATGACAACCAAAAAGAAAGTAATGCTCACCTCTGAAATCAAACAATATTCAAGAAAACATGCTTATCCAAAATTAGTGGTGAAAATTAAATATTAAGCTTACATTAATTTGTGAAAACCCAAACTACACTGGTAGGCACTTGATTAAAATTTAGTTTTATTGGGGTTTTCTTACCAAAAAATCACAGAATCTTACATGATGAAGTAAGTTTGCTGCAAATGATAACAATTGTGAGCTCCTGACATGCTGAAGTATTCAAAGCACACAAGAAAAGGAGAGGTTTTGGTTAATACAACTAAGGGAAGACCAGATTGTCTTACATGTCTCTAATAAAAGAGTGTTACATTAAATATTTTTAAATTAATTTTCAAAATATTCCAGAAAGTACAATTGCTTCTCCAGCACTGCAGTGAGAAGACTTGCAGGCAGAATTCCATTTAAACACGTTCCAGCTGTACTCCCAGGGTGTCAACTCTCTATTTTTGTGATTTTCCTAGAAGGGATTCCACACAAACCCTAAGTCTGACATGCCAGGTGGAAAATAGCACAAAGCCTTTCTTGGAGATCCAGTGATCTACTCAGGCCAGAAAGGAGTCACTTACAGTTCCCATGTCTAAGTAGTGCAGCAAACCACGTGTTTGCATTGTGTTACACAAGAATGAGCATTATTCCAAGCCCATCAGCTTCCAAATATTTCTTTATTGTTTTCACAACTCAAGCAAAGATGATTCAAGGAGCCCTCGTCTTCGTGTTTGCCTTCAGTTCCCCTTTCCAAAAACCCAAACAACTCCCTGAATACTCAGCCAGCTCTCCCCTCTCTAGCTGCTACTGGCTTTTCCTGCAGCAGTTCTTCCTCCTTCTTCTTGTACAGCTTTAGGAGATACTCATCAGGCTCAATTCCTGCCTCCTGTAACTCCTCCATGGCTTTCTGCAGCCGGCGCAGCGTCCGGGCGCTCCGCACTTTGCGGGCAGTGATGTACAGAGTGAACTCCTTGAAGCCCATCAGCTTGCAGGTATCCACCTCACAGATATTTTTAACATCTTTGGTCTTGTCCACCTGGGGGAAGAAAACTAAACCTGACATTCTTTCCAGGTCTTCAAGGCTGACTTGGAAGTCGGTGAGCTGGTGGCTGAAGCCGATGGGGTTGTTTGGCACCACGAAGGCGCCCAGCACCAGGGGCTCTGAGGACGTTCTGCTCCGCCTGGCGAGGATCACCTTGTACAGGTGGGATGGTACAGCCACTTCATCCTTTCCAATCACCTGCCAAAAGGAAAGGACTGGTACAGATAAAAAAATCACAGCACTGTTTTGCTTGGAAAAGATCTTTAAAATTATCAGGCACTGCCAAGACCACCACTAAACCGTGTCCCTAAGCACCACAACTTCATGTTCCCTTTCTCTGGAGCTCCTCTCCTTTGTGTAACTACAATAACTTATATTATAATAAACAATGAAAATTCCTGACCTCACAGTTCCAAATCATAGAGGTTTTAATATACATTTCAAATCAACTCTAAGTTACCATCTGTCATTTATTTTTTTCTCTATTACCCACACCCAGGTAGCATTTAAAAGCTACTTTACCTAAGTAAGCATTTTTTTTTGCAGGAGATCCAGATATAAAGTACATTCAGTGACTCAAGTATCTTCTTGGAAGAGAAGCCTATCGAAAGAAAATGCACCTATTTCTTCCACAAATTCCCTACAATCCAACTTCAGTGCTCACACATGTTGAGTTTCCTCCTGTGTCACTCAGACCAGGATCAAGGGATTTAAGGGGAGCCCCAAAAGTGGAGGATCAGGACCGTTAAAGTGTCACAGTCTCACCCCACCCTGTGCCAGGGAATACACCTATTGATGGCAAATGTAATCTCTCCAGGACTCAGAAGTTATGCTCATGCATGCACAGAATTAGGCTTTTTTGTTTCTTTGCTATTGCTGAACTGAATCTGTCATTTTCAGAGTGTAACAGGCTCACACATGGAAAATCTGAGTTTTGCATAACTCTTCTGTAAGAACCCTTCTCAAAGCCATGCTTTTATTCTAATTGCAATGGAAGAAAAATATGCAGATCCCTTACAAAAGCTACAAAGGCATTTTATACTGTATATAAAATCCAGTAATTTGGTGCTGTTTCCAGGATTTGCAATACCTGCAAAAGCAAAGACTGACTGTTTTGATTTTTTGGACAGCTTTTGTTAGATACAGTTAAAATACCATTTCAGGGAAAGCAGGTATTTATCACATTAATTGAAAGTGTCAACAGTTCAGACATGCCTTGTCCACTCACATATAGAATATAACTCAATCACATAATAAACACTTCCTATGCACACTTTTTTTTCTGATTATTCAGCCCTTCTGCAAATGAAAATACATTTTTAAAATTAAATTTTGCCTGTGGCTATTGAACCAAGATTCATGTTGGTCTATTCCAATATTAATTAAATTTGAGTTACAAATTCTTTCAGTGATTTGTGTCCTCTAACTCTGTTGCCAGTTTTTTTAAATGATTGGTCCTAAAGCCTTGCTGGTTAGACCAAAACCAGAGAAAGTACCTTCAGGAGAAAGGGAAAATGCTGATAATTTTTTTTCATGTTTTGTGCAATAACATAGTAAAAACATTACTCCTGTTTCTGGAAAACACATGCTCTTAGATTTCTTTACTGTGTTCTAAAATACCTCCCTCCCTTGCCCTAAATAAGGCTATTTAATAGTTTTGCTGTAGTTTAAGCTTTTTTGATTTTTTGGTTTTTTTCGGGGTGTGGGGTTTTGTGTGGGTTTGTTCTTGTTCTGGGTTTTTTTGTTTGGTTGGGTCAGTTTTTTTTTTTTTTGAGAGGGGGTTGGATTATTTGGTTTTTGTTTTCTTACAAAAATTGTCATGGTTGTGCCACCAACCTTCCCCAGGTAATACTCTGCCTAGACATCAAACAGTCACTGAAACTAGTTAAGGAAGGAATGCCTTATGCCAAATCTTCTCTCCCTTTCAATGATGACAGATGTGTTGATAGGGAAATGAGAGCTCCTGAGTGTCAAAGCACTTTGCATTTAGCATTCTGTGGATGTGAAACCAGAGCTACACCTCCCCAGGACCAATACCATAAATAATCAAAACTGACTGATGCACAGGTAGTGCTCAAATGTACCAAAAGCAGTGCAGCAACACACTGCTGTATCTGCTGAGTTAACACTGAATTACAAAATTAATGCTGCTGGGAGCTTTAACCTATTTGAGATCAGCAGCACTTGAACTGGGGAGTACCTGCAAAATACTGGGGGTGAGAGGCAGGGAGCCAAGAAAATCCCTGAAGGGGAGAGTAAGGAGTTCATATTTCCATATTCACCCAAGGGCACCCAGTGATGACACTGCCAAAGGAGCTGGGGCTCCTTTTCTCCCCTGGAGCAGGGAGCTTGCAGAGCCTGCGCTGCAATCCCACCTCCTGCACATTCCTAGGGCAGGGAGGAAGGTGAGGAAGAGGAGGAAGATGCTGTAGCCTCCTGAGAGAAGTGAGGCTAAAGCCAGTCCTCAGTGTCTCCCTGGGCCAACAATCCCCTGACAATCCTGCACAGTATGGCCTTTTCCAGGCCTCTTTGCACACTTTACCCACTACAAACCCATGGATATGTACCAGGTCCTCCTTAGCTCAGCCCCCTCCTTTTCTCCACACCTCCCACTCACATCCACGTCCCGGCATCCTCGCTCTGCTGCACAAAAGACCCGAGGAAGGGCGAGCACACAGATGGAGCTGCACAAGGATCTCCAATGAGTGGGGGGTACGTGGAATATGTAAAACAAACAGGTGAACGCATGTGGAGCGAGCTGAGGGAACTGGGGATTGAGGCTGAGGGCTGAGTGGGTGGATAAAGAGGCTGGGGAATGAATAGAGCTGCACACAAAACAGTTAGGTATGAGATGGAAATGCTGAATGCCTCAAGTGGGTGTTAAGGGAAAACAGACCCGGTGCTTATGTAATATTATGCAAATATATATATTCTATGCAAAATAATGCACATTTATGCATAGTATGGGCACCTAAGAAGAGAGAGGAGAAGAAACAGAGAGGACTAGTTCAAAATGAAGGAAGGGCTGGCCTTTTGAGAAATGTAGATCTAAATTCAATTCCCTACATGTAATGGTCAGGTATGTAATTTATCTACCATTTCAGTTCCATGTAAACTCCCTTTTGAGAATTTAAATAAAATTTAAGCAGTGCACAGGCTTCGTACCAATTTCTCTGAACAGCAGCAAACTACTACTGCAATAACTTCCCTGAGTGTTCATAGTGTTAAAGCAGATAAAACCATCTTCAGGTGCCCAAACTGGCAGTGTTCACAGGTGTCCCTTCCTTACTAAAAGCAGCGTATAAAAGTTCTATCCCCAGCTAATTCTGCTGGAGAGCACCATCAAAGGGCAGTGCCTGGTTTCTCTGACAGAGTAAATATGCATGACTAAGAATAAATGTCTTTTTCTGCAGTTTAACACTTATGTGCACCATGCACAGGATGCATCACCAGTAATTTCTGCAGTGTGACCCAATGATTTCTGTTAAAAAAGGGAAAGCAGTTCTGGAGCACAGCGAAGTACAAAGTATCTCCATCATTACTCTCTGTAATATCCCACACTTTGCTGTTTTATGTGAGTGAATAGAGAAGCTGCAGAGAAATGTTTCCATAGAGTTGCCCCCCCACCAGCTCAACTGCCAGAGAAAGAAGTGTGACACTGCAAAAGTGAAATTTGGAATAGAAGAAAGAGGCAGGAAAAACAAACTCCACAATTCCATTTCCTATTGCCACCTAGAGGATTTTCCTCCTAAGCTTCAGCAGCCTCAGTCACTACCCAGATCTGCACCATCCCATTTATCTCAGTGCTTTGCCTGGCAGAGGCAGAGAGCATATGCTCCTATTGTAACAGGATGGAAAATGGTTCAACATTATCCATGTACAGATGTTGACTTTGATTTGTGCCTGTCTATCCACAGGCAGCAGATGATCTTTCAGAAATCAAGGCCTGAAACAGCTCTCTGTCCCAGCTGGAGACAAAGAGCAGTTTTTTAAGAGTATCTGTGATTCTAAAAGGAATTCTGTGCTCCAATACAAGCAAGAAAATACAGCAATTGCCTGTTGAAATCACTGCTGTCCCACATGCTTTCACACCATGTTGGTAACAGCCCACAAGGCAAATTTTTGTGCAATCCTTTGAAAATCCCCATTTTGCTATTGCTATAAAATTTTGCTTAATCTTCTGAATTTTCAACAGACTCATGAAACACGAAAAAAAAAAGGCACTCAAGCTAAAAGCCTTCTTTTTATAGTATTAAATATATCTCTTTCCCATCATCATTTGGGAAACCAACGTGAAATTTCAGATGCTTTGCTGTCTCTATCAGTTCAATGTAAAAATGTGCATTGCCCCAAATTTTTGCAGCTACTTATTCCTTCTCCTAATAATGTAACATTATCATAATGTCATTTTCAGAGCAGTGTTTATTATTTTTCTATCATTACTGACATTGTTACTGACATTCCTCAAGTGTGTGTGAATTTGTTATTCTTCTCAAAGCCAAATTAAACATGGACAGCTGTCATGAGGGCAGGGCACTAAAATGTGTGCAATTCTTGACATTCAGAAATGTTTACATATCACTAAAACAACAAATGTGTTGGTAAGCAGTTGTAAAAGAAACCTAAAGAGCTCACAGGGACAGATGAGGGCAAAACATTTCTTAAACCTGAGAGAATTCAGAGAGCTTTGATAAATTCAGTCTCACAGCCAAGTCATTGGATGAGGATTTGTCTTAAGCTTGGCTCTCCTCCTAGTTTTGGCCAAATTCTGTTCTTGACTGCAGATTTTAAAAACAGAGGAATCAAATTTGATAATACCTGTGGAGTCCTTAAATATCAAAATAATTAATGAAGGCATTTGCTAATGGCATCAACGGTAAGCTTAAGTATCTGGCATTAACTAATGCCACCTTCACGGTGGTAATCAGATAAATTACAAGGCAGTCCTTAAAAATGTCATTTTGGAGTTTATGAGGCAGAAAACTCCATGAACAAGTGAAAAGGAACATAAGAAGTATAATGGCAGAACAGTTGAGATTATATGAGAAGAAAACAGAGTGTTACAGCATGGAAATTCTAAACACAAACTAATGTTATCAAATTTTAATTTTACACTGGACTTGTTGCAGATTCCCAGACTGCAAAAAAATTATCTTCCTCGGCAAGGGTATGGATCATTTTTAAAAGAAAGGGCTCGT